CACTGGAGTTTACTGAGCATGGGAATGACGGGGTCAGATCCAGGCTGTAGAAATATCCCTTTGGCAGCCCTGCGGAGCAGAGCCTGGAGACAGGGAGAAACCTGGTCTTGCTGTAGTCTGACCAGGCCTTCTTGGCTTCTCCTTGCTTAGCAATGGAGACTCTGAAATTGGACCCTGCTACAGCCCACCCGCTCCTCCAGCTCTCCAAAGGGAACACGGTGGTAGAGTGTGGCCTCCTGTCTCAGCGGAGTGCCGGCCATCCCGACGGCTTCGACTACAACACCTGCGTCCTCACCAGCCGTGGCTTCTCCTGCGGCCGTCACTACTGGGAAGTGGTGGTGGGCAGTAAGAGTCGCTGGCGGCTGGGGGTGATCAAGGGCACCGCCAGCCGGAAGGGCAAGCTGATCAAGTCCCCCGAGCACGGGGTGTGGCTGATTGGGCTCAAGGAGGGCCGGGGGTATGAGGCCTTCCAGTGCCCACGAGTGCTCCTGCCTGTGGCCGGCCACCCTCATCGGATCGGAGTATATCTGCATTATGAACAGGGGGAGCTCACTTTCTATGATGCGGACCGCCCCGAGGGCCTCCAGCCCCTGTACACTTTCCAGGCTGACTTCCAAGGCAAACTTTACCCCATCCTGGACACCTGCTGGCATGAACGAGGCAACAATTCCCTTCCCATGGTTCTGCCCCAACCTCCAGGGCCTGGCCACCTGCCCGCCCTGGAGCACACCAAACTCTAGACGTCTGGTCCTCCTTGCCTCCCTACGTGCCCGTGGCAGGTGGGCAGGGGCCAGGCGTCCTCAGGCCCTTGGCTTACGGGCACTGAAGTGCCATCATCCCTGGAGAGGAGGCTCTTTTATGGTTTGGGGTTAAAAAAATAACCGCCAAGCCCCTTCCAAACCAGATTTCTTGACTTACTTCTGCATCTGCCAAAATGACATGATTCAAAGCTTTCCCTGATAAAATGTAAGCTTCCTGAAGGTAAAACCTGTTTCCTTGTATCCCCAGAGCCCGGCAGAGCGCCTGATGCACAGTAGGTGCTCAAGAAATGCTTGTTGACTGATATAGTAGGAAGATGTTCCAGGAAAGAGTGCGGTCACAGACGCCCCCAACGGCTGCTCTTCTCTATTCGGTATAATGCAGGCCTCATTTAATAGAAATCTCTCTCTCCTGCAGTTTTTAAAGCCCCATCCTCTGAGGTGGGCAGCACAAGCACTGTGAGCCTTGGGGTGGGGCTGGCATCCTCAGGGAAGGCCTCCAGGAAAAGCTGGCACTTGGCCTTGGTCCTGAGGACCAGGCAAGTCAGACAGCCCAAGGAGCTTGAGCGAGCCTGGCCTGGGGACAGCGGTCACTGCTAAGTGCTATTCAAATATGCAAGAACAGGGTCTGTCTTTTCTACCTGTGTCCTCCAGCTCTTAGTACTGTGAGCACATAGTAGGTGCTTAATAAAGGCTTTTAAAAAATCCTTCATTTATTCATTTATGGGGGAGGGGGGACATAACCTACGGCCATGGCATCTGAGCTGACCCTCCCCTGCTGAGATTGAGCTAGTGACATGCCCATCTACCCAGTGCCCTAATCACAGAGATAACCAGTTCTATATTCAGCTGTGGAAGGAGCACCAGGCTAGAGAACCCTGGGTCAAATCCCATCGTTGTCTGCTTTTATGACCTTGAGCAAGTTCATCCACCACTCTGGGTCTCAGTTTTCTCATCTGTAAGATGGGACAAGGGGGCTTTTAGATCTATGATCACATGACCCTTTGGGTCAAAAAATGGCAGAAGGGGAGTGAAGATTCAGGAGGGATGACCCAAGACATGAAGGGCATCTTCCCTATACACACAGGAATAAGTCTTCCGGATTCTATACTTCCCAACTTGGGGCATCCTCAATGCCCACACCCTTGTCCCCCTAGATTCAATCTGTTGCCAGTTGCTGTTGACGCCACCTCTGTAACATCTCTCGAATAAGTCTCCTTCCCGCCTCTCCTTGGACACTGCTGCCCCCCCTGCCTCCCAGGACCTATCACCTTCCATCTGGACTAGTGCAATGGCTGGGGGGGGTCTGCCTGCCTCCAGGATCTCCTGCGCTCAGCTGCCAAACTGATCGTCCTAAGGGGCGGGTCTCAGCGTGTCCTCTCCACCCCCACTGTCTCATTCAACAGACTCCACGGCGATCATTTCCACTATCGAATCCGAACTCCTCTGGCATTCAAAGTCCTTCCTAACCTGGTCCCACCTCCGACCTTTCCAGTCTTCTCACGCTGACTTGTCCCCACATACGCCCTGATTTATAGGCACTGCCCCCTGGCTGTTGTATCTCCTGATCCTTGTGCATTCTCATTGACTTGTCCCCATTTCAGGAATGCTCTCACTACTCATCTCCACTTCCTGGCTTCCTTCACATCCCCACATCTTACAAGAAGCCTTTCCTAGGCCTCCTTAACCCAATGCTTTTCCTTTACTGATTATCTCCAACTTATCCTGCCTAACAATTGATCAATCATCTTTTTTTTTTTGATTATTTATTTTTAGTTTTCAACATTCACTTCCATAAGATTTTGAATTTTAAATTTTCTCCCCCTCCTAGTCCCCCCACAAGATGGCGTGCAATCTGATATAGGCTCTACTTATACATTCATAGTAAGCATATTTTCCCATTAGTCATGATGTAAAGAACAATTAGAACTAATGGGAGGAACCACGAGAATGAAACAATAAAGCAAAACAACAGAGGAAAAGGAGAGCAAATAGTCTGCTCCCATCTTGGATAGCAATTTCCATCATGAGTCTTTTGGAGATGTCTTAGATTCTTGCATCGCTGAGACGAGCCAAGTCTATCCAAGTCAGTCATCACACAACGTGGCTGTTACTGTGTACAATGTTCTCCTGGTTCTGCTCACTTCACTCAGCATCAGTTCATGTAAGTCTTTCCAGGTTTTTCTGAAGTCCACCTGATCATCATTTCTTATAGCACAATAGTATTCCATAAAATTCATATACCACAACTTATTCAGCCATTCCCCATTGATGGGCGTCCCCTCAATTTTCAATTCTTTGCCACCACAGAAAGAGCTGTTATAAATATTTTTGCACATGTGGCTCCTTTTCCCATTTTTATGATCTCTTTGGGATATAGCCCTAGAAGTAACATTCCTGGGTCAAAGGGTATGCACAATTTTATAACCCTTTGTGCATAGTTCCAAATTGCTCTCCAGAATGGTTGGATCAGTTCACAACTCCACCAACAATGCATTAGTGTTCCAGTTTTCCCACATCTCCAACATTTATCATTGTCCTGTTTTGTCATGTTAGCCAATCTGATAGGTATGATGTGGTACCTCAGAGTTGTTTTGATTTGCAGTGATTTAGAACATTTTTTCATATGACTGTAGATAGCTTTTGTTTCTTCCTCTGAAAACTGTCTGTTCATATCCTTTGACCATTTATGAACTGGGGGATGACTTGTATTCTTACAAATTTGACTTAGTTCTCTATATATTTTAGAAATAAGGCCTTTATCAGAGACACTGGTTGTAAGAATTCTTTCCCAGTTTTCTGCTGCTCTCCTAATCTTGGATGCATTGGCTTTGTTTGTGCAAAAACTTTTCAATTTAATGTAATCAAAATTATCCATTTTGCATTTCATAATGTTCTCTATCTCGTTTGGTCATTAATTCTTCCCTTCTCCTTAGATCTGACAGGTAAACTATTCCTTGCTCTTTTAGTTTGCTTACAGTATCAGTCTTTATATCTAAATCCTGCGCCCATTTTGACTTTATCTTGGTATAGGCCAATCAATCATCTATTAAGCACCTACTATGTGCCAGGTACCATGCTAGGCCCTGGTGATACAAAGAGAGGCAAAAGTCGGCCCTTGCCCTGAAGGAGCTTACACTCTAATAGGAGAGCCAACACTTATACAAGCAAGCTATATACAGAATAAATGCCTATATCCGGTTTGTACGTAGTGGTTTGTTCCTTGAGGGCTGGGATTGGTTTTGTCTTTGGATTTCCAGAGTTTAGCACAGCGCCCGGCACACAGCTGGCGCTTAATAAATGCTCGCTCCTTGCTTGCACTTTGGAGTTGGGAAGGTCTGAGTTCAAAACCCTCCATGGACGCTACTTGTGTTACCTTAAGCAAACCACTTTTCCACGTACGCGCTCCAGCTTTGTCGTAAAATGAAGGCTGGCTTCTAAGAACGCTTCCGCTCTAAAGCTCTGACCCAGCCACTCTAAGGAGGCGAGGGCGGTGCTAGGAAATGCCGGCCAATGAAGCACGGGGGCGGAATTGACCAGAAGGGGGCGGAGCCACAGGCTGGCGGGCCAAATCCGGACGAGGCGGAGTGGTGCGCCTGCGCAGTGGTGCGCCTGCGCAATGGTTGGTTGGGGTAGCCACGTGGGGCGCCGCGGAGCAGGAGCCGGTGACGGGAGTCAGGAGGAGGCCAATGGCGCTGTACGGGGCTGCGGCCGCCGTGCTCTCCGGGCTAGAGGCGCACCAGGGCTCCCTCAAGAGCCTGGTCTATAGCAGCCGCTTCCAGGTACTGCGGCGGGGGAGCAGGAGCGGAGCGTGGTCAGGCGTGGGCCGGGTGGCCGGGCCGAGGCGGGGTGTCCGGGGGGCGGGGGCGGGGGCGGGGTG